GTTAGGTTATTTAGCGAGTGTCCATGTTGGTTAGGTTATTTAGCGAGTGTCCATGTTGGTTAGGTCATTTAGCGAGTGTCCATGTTGGTTAGGTTATTTAGCGAGTGTCCATGTTGGTTAGGTTATTTAGCGAGTGTCCATGATGGTTAGGTTATTTAGCGAGTGTCCATGATGGTTAGGTTATTTAGCGAGTGTCCATGATGGTTAGGTTATTTAGCGAGTGTCCATGTTGGTTAGGTTATTTAGCGAGTGTCCATGTTGGTTAGGTTATTTAGCGAGTGTCCATTATGGTTAGGTTATTTAGCGAGTGTCCATGTTGGTTAGGTTATTTAGCGAGTGTCCATGTTGGTTAGGTCATTTAGCGAGTGTCCATGTTGGTTAGGTTATTTAGCGAGTGTCCATGTTGGTTAGGTTATTTAGCGAGTGTCCATGATGGTTAGGTTATTTAGCGAGTGTCCATGATGGTTAGGTTATTTAGCGAGTGTCCATGATGGTTAGGTTATTTAGCGAGTGTCCATTATGGTTAGGTTATTTAGCGAGTGTCCATGATGGTTAGGTTATTTAGCGAGTGTCCATGATGGTTAGGTTATTTAGCGAGTGTCCATGATGGTTAGGTTATTTAGCGAGTGTCCATGATGGTTAGGTTATTTAGCGAGTGTCCATGATGGTTAGGTTATTTAGCGAGTGTCCATGTTGGTTAGATTATTTAGCGAGTGTCCATGTTGGTTAGGTCATTTAGCGAGTGTCCATGATGGTTAGGTTATTTAGCGAGTGTCCATGATGGTTAGGTTATTTAGCGAGTGTCCATGATGGTTAGGTTATTTAGCGAGTGTCCATGATGGTTAGGTTATTTAGCGAGTGTCCATGTTGGTTAGATTATTTAGCGAGTGTCCATGTTGGTTAGGTCATTTAGCGAGTGTCCATGATGGTTAGGTTATTTAGTGAGTGTCCATGTTGGTTAGGTTATTTAGCGAGTGTCCACCACTCACCCTCACAACAACCACTCACCCTCACCGCTCACCACTCACCCTCACCACTCACCCTCACCACTCATCCTCACCAATCACACCCTCACCAATCACCACTCACCCTCACTGCTCACCCTCACTGCTCACCCTCACTGCTCAGCACTCACCCTCACCACTCACCACTCACGCTCACCACTCACCACTCACGCTCACCACTCACCACTCACCATTACCATTCACCCTCGCCACTCACTAATCACAACTCACAACCGCCACTCACCCTCACCACTCACTCTCACCACTAACCCTCACCATTCACCCTCACAACAACCACTCACCCTCCCCGCTCACCACTCACCCTTACCACTCACCCTCACCACTCACCACTCATCCTCACCAATCACACCCTCACCAATCACCACTCACCCTCACTGCTCACCCTCACTGCTCATCGTCACCGCTCACCCTCACCACTCAATCTCAGCACTCACCACTCACGCTAACCCTCACCACTCACCCCTCATTAATTACCACTCACAACCACCACTCACCCTCACCACTCACCCTCACCACTCACCCTCACAACAACCACTCACCCTCACCACTCATCCTCATCAATCACACCCTCACCAATCACCACTCACCCTCACTGCTCACCCTCACCGCTCACCGCTCACCCTCACCACTCACCCCTCACTAATCACCACTCACAACCGCCACTCACCCTCACCACTCACCACTCAACCTCACCACTCACCCGCACTAATCACCACTCACGCTCACCACTCACTACTCACCCTCACCACTTACCACACTCATCACTCACCACTCTCCCTCACCAGTCACCCTCGCCACTCACCCTCACCACTCACTAATCACCACTCACAACCGCCACTCACCCTCACCACTCATCCTCACTACTCACTCTCACCACTCACCCTCACCACTCACCCTCACAACAACCACTCACCCTCACCGCTCACCACTCACCCTTACCACGCACCCTCACCACTCACCACTCATCCTCACCAATCACACCCTCACCAATCACCACTCACCCTCACTGCTCACCCTCACTGCTCACCGTCACCGCTCACCCTCACCACTCAACCTCACCACTCACGCTCACCCTCACCACTCACCCCTCACTAATCACCACTCACAACCACCACTCACCCTCACCACTCACCCTCACTACTCACCACTCATCCTCACCACTCCCCACTCATCCTCACCAATCACACCCCCACAAATCACCGCTCACCCTCACCACTCACCACTCACGCTCACCACTCACCCTCACCAATCACAACCGCCACTCACAACCGCCACTCACCCTCACCACTCACCCTCACTACTCACTACTCATCCTCACCAATCACACCCTCACCAATCACCACTCACCCTCACCACTCACGCTCACCACTCACCCTCACCACTCATGATTACCACTCACCATTACCACTCACACTCACCACTCACTAATCACCACTCACCCTCACAACAACCATTCACCCTCACCACTCATCCTCATCAATCACACACTAACCAATCACCACTCACCCTCACTGCTCACCCTCACCGCTCACCACTCACCCTCAGCACTCACGCTCACCCTCACCACTCACCCCTCACTAATCACCATTCACAACCGCCACTCACCCTCACCACTCACCCTCACCATTCACCCTCACCACTCACCCTCACCAATCACCAATCACCCTCACCACTCACCACTCACCCTAACCACTCACCTTCACCACTGACCCTCACCACTCACCCTCACCACTCATCCCCACCACTCACCCTTACTACTCACCATCACCACTTACCCTCACTACTCACTATTCACCACTCACCCTCATCACTCACCCTCCCCACTCTCCCTCACCACTCACTCTAACCATTCATCTCACCATTATAATTTTGCATTACGTGTTGACGTAGATTTTGTCTAACTCGGACTAGAAATGCTCCTTGCTGATTAACGTCTGGATGTCCGTAACTATCGGTTGAAACAAGCCCGGCTGCTGTTGAGACGCTGTGCACCAATAAGGGTCCACAGGTGGCTTGCACTGAATCAATGACGCGCTCCCAGAAGTCTGTGCTAGTTATAGTTTGTGTAAAACATTCATTTGTTTCGTGGAGAGATCGATAAATGAAAGATGTCGTGTCTGCTGATCTGCTTCATAGCAAGGAGGTAATTCTAAGAGCCTATTTGAAATACATTTTTGGTACAGGTTTGTATTTGGTTACAAGGCAGAGCACATCTAGCAGATACATTCTCCACAACAACACTCATTAGAATTTTGCATGACGTCTTATATGTTGGCGAACTAGGACAAGAAATGGTCCTTGCTGATTAACGTCTGGATGTTCACAACCATGGGGTGAAGCAAGCCTGACCGCCTGCGGTGCCCCTCAACCATTTACGGCCTTGGGCCAGGAAAGTCACGAAAAAATTGCACCCGAAAGACGCATTCACGCAAGCACCCGATGCTCCGTTGTGAAGTTTCAAAATGAAACAACTTTGAATTGTATTATGTTTTGCATTAGATCATTGTATTTTTTCTTTAAAAGCTTATATCATTTTACATATGGAAGACTTAATTGAAAACGACATTTCATGTGAATTTTCTCTAGTCGTTAAGTAGATTGCCTTGCCGCGGATTCTGTTCGATGCGGACTTTCACCTGGTTGGGAGAAGACCGCCGTCTGCAGATTGATTCCAACGCGATCGGACGTCTGTCCCTGCGCCTCCGTCGTTCATGCAGGGGGCGCGTAGGTTTGCAGCGCCCCCTGCATGAAAGCGATGGAAAGTGCAGCGTTCGTCACAGACAAATGAAGTCGTGTGCTTATATATTTACGTATAAATTGTACACCAAAACCGGTCCACAGTTGATTTGCACTGAATGCTGCAGTAGTTATTATATTTTGTGTTAAACATTCCTTTGTTTCGCGGAGAGACTGAGAAATGAAATACGTCTTGTCTGCTGATCTAGTTCATATCCGTGTACATCGATATCCCACATGGCTTACACTACACACCACACAGGGAAATAAATAGAAACTAGAACGACTTCCGGGGATGGGCAAAGAGCGAGGAATCTCTTTCAATGGAGCGAGTTCAGTGAGTTCGATTCAACATCTCTCTGTTCGCCTCTGTGTCTCTGTTCGCCTCTATTCGCCTCTATGTGTCTCTCTCTCTCTGCCTGTCTCTGTCCATGTCGTCTCTGTGTTCCTCTTGTCTGTGTCTGTCCGCATGTCTTGTCTGTCTGTCCCACCGCAGTCAACGACTGTCAGTAGCAGCAGGCGCCCGTTCAGCTCCCACGGCTACACGCCACTCAAAGTTGCTCCCAACACAAAGACAAAGATCCCCCGTAAAGCCTGGACAGAATGTCAGGGCAAGTGCTGTTAGCGATCACCTAACACAAACACAAAGATCCCCCGTAAAGCCTGCACAGAATGTTGGGGCAAGTGCTGTTAGCGAGCACCTATTAAGGGTGGGACAACACACGAGGGGGTGGGTGGCCAGCACCACGCCCGGCCGCCTTTGTCTCCCCAGTGGCGATGTTGACACCGCATCGGGTACTCTTTTGAGGCTGACTCGACGTAGGGGAGGCTCAGGACCGGCTCAGAAAGTCGTCACTGGCGATGTTGGCCACGAGCGGGAATGGAACTCGGCGCAGCGCTCAGCACGACACTGCCGCTCCCCTTCTGTCAACAAACTTGAACTCTGACCCCGCCCTCAGACGTCGCCGCTCAGCGTGACCTCATCTGCGTCAAACGCCAGGGGGAGGTGTGCCTCGCTAGGGACGTCATGTCACCTACCCCGACCACCGAGCTCTTGAGCGTGACGTCACTTTCGCTCGGCCGCAGCCGATGTCTGTTCCAGTGCCAATCCTTATTTGGGCAAAGCCACGCCCGGTGACTGGCGGCTCATTAACATAATTTATTCGTGAAAGCCTGATGGCGTTTGCTTCAATTCTCTCGCTTAAGTTGAATTTGTCTTCACACGGATCGCCACTTTGTAACTTTGTTTAAATATTCTATATTAACACCGTTTTATTTGTTACCAGGCCACGCCCGCTTGAGCTGCTGTACCGCTCTTGTTATCAGAAGTGACCTGCCCACAACAACAACAAGGTGAGGCTCGTCAACAGCGTGGTGGTGTTCACTCTAGACGCGTGGTGGTGTTCACTCTAGACACGTGGCGGTGTTCACTCTAGACACGTGGTGGTGTTCACTCTAGACACGTGGTGGTGTTCACTCTAGACACGTGGCGGTGTTCACTCTAGACACGTGGCGGTGTTCACTCTAGACACGTGGCGGTGTTCACTCTAGACACGTGGCGGTGTTCACTCTAGACGCGTGGTGGTGTTCACTCTAGACGCGTGGTGGTGTTCACTCTAGACGCGTGACGGTGTTCACTCTGGACGCGTGGCGGTGTTCACTCTAGACGCGTGGCGGTGTTCACTCTAGACGCGTGACGGTGTTCACTCTGGACGCGTGGTGGTGTTCACTCTAGACACGTGGCGGTGTTCGCTCTAGACGCGTGGTGGTGTTCACTCTGGACGCGTGGTGGTGTTCACTCTAGACACGTGGTGGTGTTCACTCTAGACGCGTGGTGGTGTTCACTCTAGACACGTGGTGGTGTTCACTCTAGACGCGTGGCGGTGTTCGCTCTAGACGCGTGGCGGTGTTCACTCTAGACGCGTGGCGGTGTTCACTCTAGACGCGTGACGGTGTTCACTCTGGACGCGTGGTGGTGTTCACTCTAGACGCGTGGTGGTGTTCACTCTAGACACGTGGCGGTGTTCGCTCTAGACGCGTGGTGGTGTTCACTCTGGACGCGTGGTGGTGTTCACTCTAGACACGTGGTGGTGTTCACTCTAGACGCGTGGTGGTGTTCACTCTGGACGCGTGGTGGTGTTCACTCTAGACACGTGGCGGTGTTCACTCTAGACGCGTGACGGTGTTCACTCTAGACGCGTGGTGGTGTTCACTCTAGACGCGTGGTGGTGTTCACTCTAGATGCGTGGTGGTGTTCACTCTAGACACGTAGCGGTGTTCGCTCTAGACGCGTGGTGGTGTTCACTCTGGACGCGTGGTGGTGTTCACTCTAGACACGTGGTGGTGTTCACTCTAGACGCGTGGTGGTGTTCACTCTAGACGCATGGCGGTGTTCACTCTAGACGCGTGGTGGTGTTCACTCTAGACGCGTGGCGGTGTTCACTCTAGACGCATGGCGGTGTTCACTCTAGACATGTGGTGGTGTTCACTCTAGACGCCTGGCGGTGTTCACTCTAGACACGTGGTGGTGTTCACTCTAGACGCGTGGTGGTGTTCACTCTAGACGCGTGGTGGTGTTCACTCTAGACACGTGGCGGTGTTCACTCTAGACGCGTGACGGTGTTCACTCTAGACGCGTGGCGGTGTTCACGCTAGACGCGTGGTGGTGTTCACTCTAGACGCGTGGTGGTGTTCACTCTAGACGCGTGGCGGTGTTCACTCTAGACGCGTGGCGGTGTTCACTCTAGACACGTGGCGGTGTTCACTCTAGACACGTGGCGGTGTTCACTCTGGACGCGTGGTGGTGTTCACTCTAGACGCGTGGCAGTGTTCACTCTGGACGCGTGGCGGTGTTCACTCTAGACGCATGGCGGTGTTCACTCTGGACGTGTGGCGGTGTTCACTCTACACACGTGGTGGTGTTCACTCTAGACGCGTGGCGGTGTTCACTCTAGACGTGTGGTGGTGTTCACTCTAAACACGTGGTGGTGTTCACTCTAGACGCGTGGCGGTGTTCACTCTAGACGCGTGGTGGTGTTCACTTTAGATGCGTGGTGGTGTTCACTCTAGACGCGTGGTGGTGTTCACTCTAGACGCGTGGTGGTGTTCACTCTAGACGCGTGGCGGTGTTCACTCTAGACGTGTGGTGGTGTTCACTCTAGACGCGTGGCGGTGTTCACTCTAGACACGTGGTGGTGTTCACTCTAGACGCGTGGCGGTGTTCACTCTAGACGCGTGGCGGTGTTCACTCTAGACGCATGGCGGTGTTCACTCTAGACGCATGGCGGTGTTCACTCTAGACGCGTGGCGGTGTTCACTCTAGACGCGTGGCGGTGTTCACTCTAGACGCGTGGTGGTGTTCACTCTAAAAACGTGGCGGTGTTCACTCTAGACGCGTGGCGGTGTTCACTCTAGACACGTGGTAGTGTTCACTCTAGACACGTGGTGGTGTTCACTCTTGACGCGTGGCGGTGTTCACTCTAGACACGTGGTGGTGTTCACTCTAGACGTGTGGCGGTGTTCATTCTAGACGCGTGGCGGTGTTCACTCTAGACGCGTGGTGGTGTTCACTCTAGACGCCTGGCGGTGGTCACTCTAGATACGTGGCAGTGTTCGCTCTGGACGCGTGGTGGTGTTCACTCTAGACGCGTGGCAGTGTTCACTCTAGACACGTGGCGGTGTTCACTCTAGACGCGTGGCAGTGTTCACTCTAGACACGTGGCGGTGTTCACTCTAGACGCGTGGCGGTGGTCACTCTAGACGCGTGGCGGTGTTCACTCTAGACGCGTGGCGGTGGTCACTCTAGACACGTGGCGGTGTTCGCTCTGGACGCGTGGTGGTGTTCACTTTAGACGCGTGGCGGTGGTCACTCTAGATACGTGGCAGTGTTCGCTCTGGACGCGTGGCGGTGTTCACTCTAGATACGTGGCAGTGGTCGCTCTGGACGCGTGGCGGTGTTCACTCTAGACGCGTGGTTGTGTTCACTCTCTACATGTGGAGGGGAAACCCGGGGATCAGCACGCTGTGAACAGCTGTAGAAGTACGGCGCGCGAAGTGCCATGTGGAAGGGGGGTAAGCATTGCAGAGCGCTTAGCTCAGGTGTGTCTCGGGTTGATGCCACATACTTCATGGTCATTCCCCCCCCCCCAAAATACAAAAGTCTATTTTTCTTTCCTGAAGGCATCAACACGTTCAGCGAGCGCGATGACGATCACACGCGTCGAATGAAAAGCAAGGGACAAGTCCTTTCTTACTAACAACTCCTTTCTCACTAACAACTCCTTACTTACTAACAACTCCTGTAATTTTTCATTGCTGGAGGGGTTTCCCCCCCCTACCTGAAAATCCTGGCTCCACCTCTGAGTGTGTGACAGTGTCAAGTTTGTATTTGCAGTAAAGTCTATTAACTCTATTGAGCACAGAGGTTATATCAAAACAGTAGTTTATTTTAGTTTTCCTCTGGAACTCTTTGTAAGAATGGAGTCAGGAAGTGATCACAGCACACACGTGCAGCAGCTGAAGTCGGAACTGCTCATCCCAGCAATCAAGGACATCTGTGCCTGGCTTCACACCTCTAAGTTGCGATTGAACATTAATTTATGCATTTGTGCATGACACAAATAGTATTATTTTCAACACCCTTTGCAATGTCAGCTGAATTTAGCTTTCATAAACATTTATTTAGAAGCCAGACAGCTGAAATTGTGTGCTGAGTTTTGGGTTAACGTTCATTTTGAAGATACGAGGGCTTCCAGGCATGTTTATGACCATTTGCCCTCTCATTGTGTGCCATAACAGCCCGTGTGATGAATTTGGGACACTTTTTTTACTATATCATAAATATATGAATAACTATAGACGTGTAAGTCACGTGTGACTGTGTATATATGCATTCCTCTGTGCCTCGATACTGATGTGTAGATGGTGTGGATAGTCTTTGTTTCTGTCTGCAGCTGTCGCTGCCTCTGCAGAAGTGGTTTCATGGAGCAAAGGCACTCGGCGCGGCTCGGTGCAAAAAGGCAACAATGCGACCGGTGTGCATACAGCACGGATTGTCCTGCACATTTGACACGGCACCAGAGAACTCACACAGGAGAGAAACCCTTCAAGTGCAGTGTGTGTGGGAAGGCATTTGCACAGTCATCTGCTCTTGTAACACACAAGAGAACACACACGGGAGAGAAACCCTTCAAGTGCAGTGTGTGTAGGAAGGCGTTTGCACAGTCATCTACTCTTGTAGCACACCAGAGAACACACACGGGAGAGAAACCCTTCAAGTGCAGTGTGTGTGGGAAGGCGTTTGCATGGTCACCATATCTTCAAAGACACCAGAGAACACACAAGCATCAGAAGATCCACCAGGAGTGGAGTGTGAAATCAGCTTGTGAAAGTCAAAGTGCTGCAATGAGCCCATCCCTCATCAAACAAGAACCGGAAGAAAATCCAAGCTTGGACACTTTTAAAGGTGTCAAGGTGAAATATGAAGAAATCAAGGTGAAATATGAAGAAGTGATGGTGAAATATGAAGAAGTGATGGTGAAGAGCGAAGAAGTGAAGGTAAAATGTGAAGATGAAGATTCAACTGCAAAATGGGACCTTCGCATCGATGGAGGCAACGTGAAGCAGGAGGAGAATTCTGACTGTGAGGCAGAGCGAGGCAACTCCCAGCAGTTTGTGGAAGTGGAGGTGTGGGTGGACTTCCTCCGAGACAATACAAAGTCAAATGGAGACCCGGGAGATGCGTAAGCCTTAGACCAGTGGTTCTTAACCTGGGTTCGATCGAACCCCAGGGGTTCGGTGAGTCCGTCTCAGGGGTTCGGCGGAGGTTAAGACACACACCTGACTCGTGATTGTGCACCAGTAAAACATGTACCTATGTTTTGAATTTGAAAAAATAATTTAATTTTTCCAATTAAGAAGGGTTCGGTGAATGCGCATATGAAACTGGTGGGGTTCAGTACCTCCAACAAGGTTAAGAACCACTGCCTTAGACGATGCCGCTCCAATAGATGCACCTTTGTCACAGGCCTTTAATGACAAGAATGTGAAGTTGAACACTCAGTTCCTAGGTTCAACCTGCAGGGTAAGAGCGGCCAGTCTTTGTGGACCTGTGTGTTGGGTAGATCTCTAACCAGGAGCGAATGCCAATAAGCTCCCAAGCATTCACTGTTATCATAATTGCATTTATACTGTGCTTGCTTAATCGCCTCGGTAATTCGGAGTTTTGCATCGTATCTCGTCTCAAACACTCGAAGAGCATCCCCAAGTAGCAGCTGCCCCTGTGTGGCACAAGGTGGTGGCCCTGCACCGGCCTGCATGTGGACAAGAGCCTGTCAGTAGGGGGCGATGGTTGATGTGGCATCTCAGTTGTGGAGTTTGTAGGTAATGTTTAGAATTTGCTACATTTTGACCCAGATGCCAGCATGCAATGGCCGACTCGTTTTGAATGGTGTTAAGCAGACGGTGCGTATTTTTTAATTAGCTTCTTGTTAATAGGATGTAACCTAATGCAGTATATTTCAGTGCAGTAATTAAATTTTGTTAATATGCCTGTCAATAAGTTACACTGAATACTTGTCTGATTGGGTTCGTACATGTAACCTTTTGTCTATAAGAGTCAAACATTGAATAAGTCATGTTAGGACATAGTGTGTGTTTTTCAAGTAACCTGTACAGATAACTCAGGTGAGACTCATTGTTCTTGTGATACAGGTCAAAGGGTACTTTTGTGTTTTCAGGAAGCATCTCCCTCTGGAGCAACTCATTGTCTTTGAAATAGGGAGCACACTCGGATCATTCATCAGTTACAAGGCAAACCACTCAAAAGTTACACGTAGAGGAGATACATTCTCAACAACACGAATTATAATTTTGTATTACGTGTTGACGTAGATTTTGTCGAATTAGGACGAGAAATGGTCCTTGCTGATTAACGTCTGGATGTTGACAACCATGGGGTTGAAGCAAGCCTGACCGCCTGCGGTGCCCCTCACAACCATTTACGGCCTTGGGCCAGGAAAGTCACGAAAACAATTCACACGAACGATGCATCCACGCAAACTCCCGATGCTCCGTTTTGAAGTTTGAAAATGAAACAACTTTGAATTGTATATTGTTTTGCATTTGATAATTGTATTTCTTCATTAAAAGCTGATATCATTTTCCATCTGGAAGACTTCATTGAAAACGATATTTCGTGTGAATTTTCTCTAGTCGTTAAGTAGATGGCCTTGCCGGGGTTCGGTTCGATGCGGACTTTCACCTGGTTGGGATCGAGGGGTGGAGATAAGGCGACACAGAGCTGGCCGTGCCAGAAGACCGCCGTCTGCAGATCGATTCCAACTGCTCCTCCGTCGTTCATGTAGGGGGCGCGTAGGTTTGCAGCGCCTCCTGCATGAAAAAGAAAGTGCAGCGTTCATCACAGATGAAGTTGTGCGCTTATATAAGAGTACTCGCGGGAAGTACCCGGCGTGAAATTTCCCACCTTTTATCGTAATATATAGGATACTAAGGCTAAGCACACCCGAGAATTGCACTTTTGTTGAAATATGAAGTTGCAAATATTTGTCCATTATTGGCCAAAAACGGCATAGGTTAGTATGCCGATTTTATATATTGGGACGTGCACATTTAATCATAACATTTTCAACTTTTAATCTAATACATGGCATACTCGGGCTAAATACAATGGAGCAATGCACTTTTGTCGACAAATAAGGCTGTGAAAGTTTGGCCAATTTTGGCCGATTTTATTTTTTTACTTTAAAATTTCATGATGAAATTTCCCACTCTTTTTTATGTAATCTATAGGATACTAAGGCTAAGCACACCCGAGGATTGCACTTTTGTTGAAATATGAAGTTGCAAATATTTGTCCATTATTGGCCAAAAACGGCATAGGTTAGTATGCCGATTTTATATATTGGGACGTGCACATTTAATCATAACATTTTCAACTTTTAATCTAATACATGGCATACTCGGGCTAAATACAATGGAGCAATGCACTTTTGTCGACAAATAAGGCTGTGAATGTTTGGCCAATTTTGGCCGATTTTATTTTTTTACTTTAAAATTTCATGATGAAATTTCCCACTCTTTTTTATGTAATCTATAGGATACTAAGGCTAAGCACACCCGAGGATTGCACTTTTGTTAAAAAATGAAGTTGTAAAAATGTGTCCATTATTGGCCAAAAACGGCATAGGTTAGTATGCCGATTTTCTATATTGGGATGTGAACATTTCATCATAAAATGTTCGACTTTTAATCTAATACATAGCATACTAAGGGTAAATACAATTGATTAATTAACTTTTTGTTGAAAAAGAAAGCTATGACAATTTGGCTTATTTTGGTTAAAACCGGCATAAGTATGCCGATTTTATTTTTGGGGCGTGAAAATTTAATCGTGAAATTTCCCACTTTTAAAGTAACATAGAGCATACTAATGCTTAACAAAATGGAGGAATTCACTTTTTTTTGGAAAATCTAGCTATGAAAATGTAGCAAATGTTGGCCAAGAACGGCATTGGTATAGTATGCCGATTTGATCTCTTTACTTCAAATTTCATGGTCAAATTTCCCACTTTATAACGTAATATATGGGCTACTCAGGCTAAACACAACCAAGGAATGCACTTTTCGTTGAAAAATAATGCGAGGAAAATTGGACCAATTTTGCCAAAAAACGGCCTAGGTTATTGTATGGCGATTTTCCTTTTAAGGACGTGAAAATGTCATCGTGAAATGTCGCCAGCGGTGTGCTGGAGAGCCAAGCCACGACGTCTACAAAGTGCTGCTCACAGCGAGTAGCAGCACCGGTGGAGGTCGTCACGGCACACACAGAGGGGGTGGGTGGCCAGCACCACGCCCGGCCGCCTTTGTCTCCCCAGTGCTGGCGATGTTGACACACCGCACCGGGGACTCGTTTGAGGCCGTTTCGACACTGCCGCTCCCTTTCTGTCAACAAACTTGAACTCTAACCCCGCTCTTTGACGTCACCGCTCAGCGTGACCTCATCGGCATCAAACGCCAGGGGGAGGTGTTCCCCGTAAGTGACGTCATGTCACCTGCTGCCGCGTGACGTCGCGAGGGACCAGGAAGTTGCCGCTCCGCCCGTGAACTGCAATCCGAGGTGAGAAATCATCATCGCGGTTGTAGTTGTGGTGGGGGTGGTGGTTGTGGTATTTGTGCTGATGGTTGTTGTGGTGGTGGTGGTGGTGGTTGTTGTGTACCGAGGTAGAGCCTCGCTCTCTCTCTCGTAGGGATGTCATTTGAGTAGCAGCGAGCATGGAAGCGATGTCCACGTTGGAACTATACAACGCGGGGCCTTGCCTCCTGCCCTCGCCTGATCGCGTTTGCTTCAATTCTCTCGCTTAGAGTTTTTTGTTTGTGTTCCGACTGCAGGTATTGTGGTCTATGCAAACATGACTTTTTGTAAAAAAGGTGTCAGTTTTCTTGCCAGATAGAAGAATAAAAAAACAATTATATCTCGCTTAAGTTGAATTTGTCTTCACCCGGCTCGCCACTTTGTAACTTTGTTTTACTTTAAATATGCACAGTTTTTATTTTTACCAGGCCAAGCCCGCTTGAGCTGCTGTACCGCTCTTGTTTTCACAAGCGACCTGCCCACAACAACAATAACAACAAGGTGAGGCTTGTCAACAGCGTGGCGGTGTTCACTCTAGACGCGTGGCGGTGCTCACTCTAGACGCGTGGTGTTCACTCTAGACGCGTGGTGGTGTTCACTCTAGACGCGTGGTGGTGTTCACTCTAGACGCGTGGCGGTGTTCACTCTAGACGCGTGGTGGTGTTCACTCTAGACGCGTGGCGGTGTTCACGCTAGACGCGTGGCGGTGTTCACTCTAGACACGTGGCGGTGTTCACTCTAGACACGTGGCGGTGTTCACTCTGGACCCGTGGCAGTGTTCACTCTAGACGTGTGGTGGTGTTCACTCTAGACGCGTGGTGGTGTTTACTCTATACGCGTGGCGGTGTTCACTCTAGACGCGTGACGGTGTTCACTCTAAACGCGTGACGGTGTTCACTCTAGACACGTGGCGGTGTTCACTCTGGACCCGTGGCGGTGTTCACTCTAGACGTGTGGTGGTGTTCACTCTAGACGCGTGGTGGTGTTCACTCTAGACGCGTGGTGGTGTTCACTCTAGACGCGTGACGGTGTTCACTCTAGACGCGTGGCGGTGTTCACTCTAGACGCGTGGTGGTGTTTACTCTAGACACGTGGCGGTGTTCACTCTAGACGCGTGGCGGTGTTCACTCTAGACGCGTGGCGGTGTTCACTCTAGACACGTGGCGGTGTTCACTCTAGACACGTGGCGGTGTTCACTCTGGACCCGTGGCGGTGTTCACTCTAGACGTGTGGTGGTGTTCACTCTAGACGCGTGGTGGTGTTTACTCTATACGCGTGGCGGTGTTCACTCTAGACGCGTGGCGGTGTTCACTCTAGACACGTGGCGGTGTTCACTCTAGACACGTGGCGGTGTTCACTCTAGACGCGTGGCGGTGTTCACTCTAGACACGTGGCGGTGTTCACTCTAGACACGTGGCGGTGTTCACTCTAGACACGTGGCGGTGTTCACTGGACGCGTGGCGGTGTTCACTCTAGACGTGTAGTGGTGTTCACTCTAGACGCGTGGTGGTGTTCACTCTATACGCGTGGCGGTGTTCACTCTAGACGCGTGGTGGTGTTCACTCTAGACACGTGGTGGTGTTCACTCTAGACACGTGGCGGTGTTCACTCTAGATGCGTGGCGGTGTTCACTCTAGACACGTGGCGGTGTTCACTCTAGACACGTGGCGGTGTTCACTCTAGACACGTGGTGGTGTTCACTCTAGACGCGTGGTGGTGTTCACTCTAGATGCGTGGCGGTGTTCACTCTAGACGCGTGGCGGTGTTCACTCTAGACGCGTGGTGGTGTTCACTCTAGACGCGTGGCGGTGTTCACTCTAGACACGTGGTGGTGTTCACTCTAGACGCGTGGTGGTGTTCACTCTGGACGCGTGGTGGTGTTCACTCTAGACACGTGGCGGTGTTCACTCTAGACGTGTGGTGGTGTTCACTCTAGACACGTGGTGGTGTTCACTCTATACGCGTGGCGGTGTTCACTCTAGACGCGTGGTGGTGTTCACTCTGGACGCGTGGTGGTGTTCACTCTAGACGCGTGGCGGTGTTCACTCTAGACACGTGGCGGTGTTCACTCTGGACGCGTGGCGGTGTTCACTCTAGACGTGTGGTGGTGTTCACTCTAGACACGTGGCGGTGTTCACTCTGGACGCGTGGCGGTGTTCACTCTAGACGTGTGGTGGTGTTCACTCTAGACACGTGGCGGTGTTCACTCTGGACGCGTGGCGGTGTTCACTCTAGACGTGTGGTGGTGTTCACTCTAGACACGTGGTGTTCACTCTAGACACGTGGCGGTGTTCACTCTGGACGCGTGGCGGTGTTCACTCTAGACGCGTGGTGGTGTTCACTCTAGACACGTGGCGGTGTTCACTCTAGACGCGTGGTGGTGTTCACTCTAGACACGTGGCGGTGTTCACTCTAGACACGTGGCGGTGTTCACTCTAGACACATGGCGGTGTTCACTCTAGACACGTGGCGGTGTTCACTCTAGACACGTGGCGGTGTTCACTCTAGACGCGTGGTGGTGTTCACTCTAGACGCGTGCGGTGTTCACTCTGGACCCGTGGCGGTGTTCACTCTAGACGTGTGGTGGTGTTCACTCTAGACGCGTGGTGGTGTTCACTCTAGACGCGTGGTGGTGTTCACTCTAGACGCGTGACGGTGTTCACTCTAGACGCGTGGCGGTGTTCACTCTAGACGCGTGGTGGTGTTTACTCTAGACACGTGGCGGTGTTCACTCTAGACGCGTGGCGGTGTTCACTCTAGACGCGTGGCGGTGTTCACTCTAGACACGTGGCGGTGTTCACTCTAGACACGTGGCGGTGTTCACTCTGGACCCGTGGCGGTGTTCACTCTAGACGTGTGGTGGTGTTCACTCTAGACGCGTGGTGGTGTTTACTCTATACGCGTGGCGGTGTTCACTCTAGACGCGTGGCGGTGTTCACTCTAGACACGTGGCGGTGTTCACTCTAGACACGTGGCGGTGTTCACTCTAGACGCGTGGCGGTGTTCACTCTAGACACGTGGCGGTGTTCACTCTAGACACGTGGCGGTGTTCACTCTAGACACGTGGCGGTGTTCACTGGACGCGTGGCGGTGTTCACTCTAGACGTGTGGTGGTGTTCACTCTAGACGCGTGGTGGTGTTCACTCTATACGCGTGGCGGTGTTCACTCTAGACGCGTGGTGGTGTTCACTCTAGACACGTGGTGGTGTTCACTCTAGACACGTGGCGGTGTTCACTCTAGATGCGTGGCGGTGTTCACTCTAGACACGTGGCGGTGTTCACTCTAGACACGTGGCGGTGTTCACTCTAGACACGTGGTGGTGTTCACTCTAGACGCGTGGTGGTGTTCACTCTAGATGCGTGGCGGTGTTCACTCTAGACGCGTGGCGGTGTTCACTCTAGACGCGTGGTGGTGTTCACTCTAGACGCGTGGCGGTGTTCACTCTAGACACGTGGTGGTGTTCACTCTAGACGCGTGGTGGTGTTCACTCTGGACGCGTGGTGGTGTTCACTCTAGACACGTGGCGGTGTTCACTCTAGACGTGTGGTGGTGTTCACTCTAGACACGTGGTGGTGTTCACTCTATACGCGTGGCGGTGTTCACTCTAGACGCGTGGTGGTGTTCACTCTGGACGCGTGGTGGTGTTCACTCTAGACGCGTGGCGGTGTTCACTCTAGACACGTGGCGGTGTTCACTCTGGACGCGTGGCGGTGTTCACTCTAGACGTGTGGTGGTGTTCACTCTAGACACGTGGCGGTGTTCACTCTGGACGCGTGGCGGTGTTCACTCTAGACGTGTGGTGGTGTTCACTCTAGACACGTGGCGGTGTTCACTCTGGACGCGTGGCGGTGTTCACTCTAGACGTGTGGTGGTGTTCACTCTAGACACGTGGTGTTCACTCTAGACACGTGGCGGTGTTCACTCTGGACGCGTGGCGGTGTTCACTCTAGACGCGTGGTGGTGTTCACTCTAGACACGTGGCGGTGTTCACTCTAGACGCGTGGTGGTGTTCACTCTAGACACGTGGCGGTGTTCACTCTAGACACGTGGCGGTGTTCACTCTAGACACATGGCGGTGTTCACTCTAGACACGTGGCGGTGTTCACTCTAGACACGTGGCGGTGTTCACTCTAGACGCGTGGTGGTGTTCACTCTAGACGCGTGGCGGTGTTCACTCTAGACACGTGGCGGTGTTCACTCTAGACGCGTGGTGGTGTTCACTCTAGATGCGTGGTGGTGTTCACTCTAGACGCGTGGTGGTGTTCACTCTAGACGAGTGGTGGTGTTCACTCTGGACGCGTGGTGGTGTTCACTCTAGACACGTGGCGGTGTTCACTCTAGACGTGTGGTGGTGTTCACTCTGGACGCGTGGCAGTGTTCACTCTGGACGCGTGGCGGTGTTCACTCTAGACACGTGGTGGTGTTCACTCTAGACGCGTGGCGGTGTTCACTCTAGACAAGTGGCGGTGTTCACTCTAGACGCGTGGCGGTGTTCACTCTGGACGCGTGGCGGTGTTCACTCTAGACGCGTGGCGGTGTTCACTCTAGACGCGTGGCGGTGTTCACTCTAGACGCGTGGCGGTGTTCACTCTAGACGCGTGGCGGTGTTCACTCTAGACGCGTGGCGGTGTTCACTCTAGACAAGTGGCGGTGTTCACTCTAGACACGTGGCGGTGTTCACTCTAGACACGTGGCGGTGTTCACTCTAGATGCGTGGCGGTGTTCACTCTAGACACGTGGTGGTGTTCACTCTAGACGCATAGCGGTGTTGACTCTAGACGCGTGGTGGTGTTCACTCTAGACACGTGGTGGTGTTCACTCTAGACGCGTGGTGGTGTTCACTCTAGACGCGTGGTGGTGTTCACTCTAGACGCGTGGCGGTGTTCACTCTAGACGCGTGGCGGTGTTCACTCTAGACACGTGGTGGTGTTCACTCTAGACGCGTGGCGGTGTTCACTCTAGACACGTTGTGGTGTTCACTCTAGATGCGTGGCGGTGTTCACTCTAGACACGTGGTGGTGTTCACTCTAGACGCATAGCGGTGTTGACTCTAGACGCGTGGTGGTGTTCACTCTAGACACGTGGTGGTGTTCACTCTAGACGCGTGGTGGTGTTCACTCTAGACGCGTGGTGGTGTTCACTCTAGACGCGTGGCGGTGTTCACTCTAGACACGTGGTGGTGTTCACTCTAGATGCGTGGTGGTGTTCACTCTAGACGCGTGGCGGTGTTCACTCTAGACGTGTGGCGGTGTTCACTCTAGACGCGTGGCGGTGTTCACTCTAGACACGTGGCGGTGTTCACTCTGGACGCGTGGCGGTGTTCACTCTAGACGTGTGGCGGTGTTCACTCTAGACGCGTGGCGGTGTTCACTCTAGACGCGTGGCGGTGTTCACTCTAGACACGTGGCGGTGTTCACTCTAGACACGTGGCGGTGTTCACTCTGGACGCGTGGTGGTGTTCACTCTAGATACGTGGCGGTGTTCACTCTAGACACGTGGCGGTGTTCACTCGAGACGCGTGGCGGTGTTCACTCTCTACATGTGGAGTGGGGACAACTGGGGGATCTGGAGGGAAATCTACGCGACCACTGGAAGAGAGAGAGAGACGCAAACTCCAAATATACAGCAGGCGTCAGGGTCGGGATCGAACCCACAATTTCCTGTATGCCAGGAGAGGTAGTTAACACCACGGGGAGAGAGAGACACGCAGCATCGGCTGTGTTGATTGATCCTCAATGAATTACTTGGTGGAGTGAGGAAGCATTTATACTGAGCAGGTGAAGGTGGCCAGGCGTGGGTCTGGACACACCACCACCTGTGAACCATGCCAGTGTGTGACGGTGGTGGAGCCAGTGGGGGTGGGGTGGCACGTACCCCCCCAACGATCCCATCTAAATCCCTAATTTCGATAGGATCATTGGGGTTTATTAGTAACTAGCTTCACTACCCGGCTTCGCCCGGGACTTGGATTCTTGTCATGGATAAATTTAATATTCCCTTATATTTCACTGAAAACCCCTGAAAAAAATGTATGCTTGCAAGAAAGAAAAGCCGAAACACATCAATTTACCTAAATCGGATTTTTTCATTCAAGGAAATTCAACCGTAACCCACTTCTACGTAAGGTCGATTTTGGCAACTCGGGAAGGGAATGACGTGGCGAGCTGAAAATAGTCGTGTTCGCTTTGAAATTCCAGACAGCATAAGCTGTGAAAATTTCATGACGCCAGAGCTCAGCGTTGGAGAGTTTTTGCTGCTTCACACAAACAAACAGGTGTAATTTCTGCTTTATATTTAAGATGGCAGTTGTACCCGTTCTTCGCACGGATTTGTATTGAAACTCCGATAAGCCAATGCCTTTGTAGAGTAGTAAATAATGACGTTGCGTCACGCTCGCCCTCCGGTGCAGTGACGGCAGAGAGTGACGTCATGCACGGCGGGTGGGACGGTGACATCATATTTAGGGTGGGACCTGTGAGGTTGGAAGTTGGGACCCAGGGTAGGGGGAAATTAGCGCCAGGCTAGAGTAGCCTGTGTGAGTGCTAGGAATCCCCAGTACCCTTCCCCTGGGGTGTGGAGTGTGAGTAGAGATGGGAACGTGTGCCTGCAGTGGGAACAGCCCAGCCGCCGCCGAAGGAAGGCTAGAGGGTTAGAAGCCCAACCTCGTCGCCGGGCGGTGATGGCGTGCCCCCGCCCGGGGCAGACGAGGGGAAGCCGTGCCGGGGCGTAGAATAATGGGAGACAGTTCCACGTGCAGGCCAGAGTTCTGACACGCACCATAACGGGGGCAGGCGTCGGGTGTGGAGTGTAGACAGTGAGTGTTTAGTACTCAGAGTGTAAATGACATGTGAAGAGTGGTTAATAAACAACTGGCGCAAGCCCTTACATGAAGTTCCGTCTCCGTGTGGATCTACAAGTCTCCAGTGGTGTCAAGAATAACCACACAACACCTTCATCGGCCTCAACACCTTCAGCGAGCGCGATGCCGATCACACGCGTCGAATAAAAAGCAAGGGACAAGGCCTTGCCTACTAACAACTCCTTACTAACAACTCCTTACTTACTAACAACTCCTTAATAACAACTATCATTTTTCATTGCTGGAGGGGTTGCCCCCCCCTACCTGAAAATCCTGGCTCCGCCTCTGAGTGTGTGACAGTGTCAAGTTTGTATTTGCAGTAAAGTCTATTAACTCTATTGAGCACGGAGGTTATATCAAAACAGTAGTTGTTTTTTGTTTTCCTCTGGAACTCTTTGTAAGAATGGAAACAGTCAGGAAGTTAACACGGCACACACATGCAGCTGAAGTCAGATCTGCTCATCCCAGCATTCAAGGACATCGTGAGCCTGGCTGGCTTCACACCTCTAAGTTGCGATTGAACATTAATTTATGCATTTCTGCATAACACAAATAGTATTCTTTTCAACACCTTTTGCTATGTCAGCTGAATTTAGCTTTCATAAATATTCCTTTTGAAGCCAGACAGCCGAAATTGTGTGCTCGGAATTTTGGGTTAACATTCATTTTGAAGATATGAGGGCTTCCAGGCATGTTTATACTCATTTGCCCTCTCATTGTGTGCCACAACAGGCCGTGTGATGAATTTGGGACACTTTTACAACTATATCATGAATATCTATTAATCATTATAGACGTGTAAGTCACGTGTGACTGTGTATATGCATTCCGCTGTGCCTCGATACTGATGTGTAGATGGTGTGGATATTCTTTTTCTGTCTGCAGCTGCCGCTTCCTCTGCAGAATTGGTCTGATGGAGCAAAGGCACTCGGCGCAGCTCGGTGCAAAAAGGCATCAATGCAACCGGTGTGCATACAGCGCGGATCGTCTTAGAAATTTGACACTGCACCAGAGAACTCACACAGGAGAGAAACCCTTCAAGTGCAGTGTGTGTGGGAAGGCGTTTGGACATTCATCTACTCTTGTAGCACACCAGAGAACTCACACGGGAGAGAAACCCTGCAAGTGCAGTGTGTGTGGGAAGGCGTTTGGACATTCATCTGCTCTTGTATCACACCAGAGAACACACACGGGAGAGAAACCCTTCGAGTGCAGCGTGTGTGGGAAGGCATTTGGACATTCATCTACTCTTGTAAAACACCTGAGAACACACACGGGAGAGAAACCCTATAAGTGCAGTGTGTGTGTGAAGGCGTTTGCAAATTTATCTCATCTTGTAGTACACCAGAAAATACACACGGGAGAGAAACCCTTCAAGTGCACTCCGTGCGGGAAGGCGTTTGCACGTTCATCAAATTTTCATGTCTACCAGAGATCACACAAGCATCAGAAGATCCACCAGGAGTGGAGTCTGAAATCAGCTTTAGAAAGTCAAAGTGCTGCAATGAGCCCATCCCTCATCAAACAAGAACCGGAAGAAAATCCCAGCTTGGACATTTTCAAAGAAATCGAGGTGAAATATGAAGAGGTGACGGTGAAATGTGAAGAAGTGATGGTGAAGAGCGAAGAAGTGAAGGTAAAATGTGAAGATGAAGATTCAACCACAAAATTGGACCTTCACATCGATGGAGACAACGTGAAGCAGGAGGAGAATTCTGACTGTGAGTCAGAGCGAGGCAACTTCCAGCAGTTTGTGGAAGTGGAGGTGTGGGTGGACTTCCTCCGAGACAATACAAAGTCAAATGGAGACCCGGGAGATGTGTAAGCTTGAGATGATGTCGCTCCAATAGATGCTCCTTTGTCACAGGCCTTTAATGACAAGAATGTGAAGTTTAATACTCGGTTCCTAGGTGCAACCTGCAGGGTAAGAGCGGCCAGTCTTTGTGGACCTGTTTGTTGGGTAGATTTCGAACCAGAAGCGAGAGCCAATAAGCTCCCAAGCATTCACTATGTTCTCATAATTGCATTTATATGGTGCTTGCTTAATCGCCTCTGGCAACTCGGAGTTTTGTATCGTATCTCGTCTCAACACTCCAAGAACATCCCCAAGTAGCAGCTGCCCCTGTGTGGCACAAGGTGGTGGCCCTGCACCGGCCTGCATGTGGACAAGAGCCTGTCAGTAGGGGGCGATGGTTGATGTGGCATCTCAGTTGTGGAGTTTGTAGGTAATGTTTAGTATTTGATAAATTTTGACCCAGATGCCAGCATGCAATGGCCTACTCGTTTTGAATGGTGCATTAGTATGTTGTACATACACTGTTAAGCAGATTTTGTGTATTTTTTTAATTAGCTTCTTGCTAATGCGATGTAACCTAGTGCAGTAATTCAATTTTGTTAACATGCCTGTCACTAATTTAGAATGAATACTTGTCTGATTGTGTGCGTACATGTAACCTTTTGTCTATAAGGGTCAAACATTGAGTAAGTGATGTTAGGACAAAGTTTGTGTTTTGCAAGTAACCTGTACAGATAACTCAGGTGAGACTCCTTGTTCTTGTGATACAGGTCAAAGGGTATTTTTGTGTTTTCAGGAAGCATCTCCCTCTGGAGCAACTCATTGTCTTTGAAATAGGGAGCACACTCGGATCATTCATCAGTTACAAGGCAAACCACTTAAAAGTTACACGTAGAGGAGGTACATTCTCTATAACACGAATTATAATTTTGCATTACGTGTTGACAGATTTTGTCTAACTCGGACTAGAAATGCTCCTTGCTGATTAACGTCTGGATGTCCGTAACTATCGGTTGAAACAAGCCCGGCTGCTGTTGAGACGCTGTGCACCAATAAGGGTCCACAGGTGGCTTGCACTGAATCAATGACGCGCTCCCAGAAGTCTGTGCTAGTTATAGTTTGTGTAAAACATTCATTTGTTTCGTGGAGAGATCGATAAATGAAAGATGTCGTGTCTGCTGATCTGCTTCATAGCAAGGAGGTAATTCTAAGAGCCTATTTGAAATACATTTTTGGTACAGATTTGTATTTGGTTACAATGCAAAGCACATCTTGTAGATACATTCTCCACAACAACACTCATTAGAATTTTGCATGACGTCTTATATGTTGGCGAACTAGGACAAGAAATGGTCCTTGCTGATTAACGTCTGGATGTTCACAACCATGGGGTGAAGCAAGCCTGACCGCCTGCGGTGCCCCTCAACCATTTACGGCCTTGGGCCAGGAAAGTCACGAAAAAATTGCACCCGAAAGACGCATTCACGCAAGCACCCGATGCTCCGTTGTGAAGTTTCAAAATGAAACAACTTTGAATTGTATTATGTTTTGCATTAGATCATTGTATTTTTTCTTTAAAAGCTTATATCATTTTACATATGGAAGACTTAATTGAAAACGACATTTCATGTGAATTTTCTCTAGTCGTTAAGTAGATTGCCTTGCCGCGGATTCTGTTCGATGCGGACTTTCACCTGGTTGGGAGAAGACCGCCGTCTGCAGATCGATTCCAACGCGATCGAACGTCTGTCCCTGCGCCTCTGTCGTTCATGCAGGGGGCGCGTAGGTTTGCAGCGCCCCCTGCATGAAAGCGATGGAAAGTGCAGCGTTCGTCACAGATAAATGAAGTCGTGTGCTTATATATTTACGTATAAATTGTACACCAAAACCGGTCCACAGTTGACTTGCACTGAATGCTGCAGTAGTTATTATATTTTGTGTAAAACATTCCTTTGTTTCGCGGAGAGACTGATAAATGAAAGACGTCTTGTCTGCTGCTCTAGTTCATATCCGTGTACATCGATATCCCACATTGCTTACACTACACACCATACACAGGGAAATAAATAGAAACTAGAACGACTTCCGGGGATGGGCAAAGAGCGAGGAATCTCTTTCAATGGAGCGAGTTCAGTGAGTTCGATTCAACATCTCTCTGTTCGCCTCTGTGTCTCTGTTCGCCTCTATTCGCCTCTATGTGTCTCTCTCTCTCTGCCTGTCTCTGTCCATGTCGTCTCTGTGTTCCTCTTGTCTGTGTCTGTCCGCATGTCTTGTCTGTCTGTCCCACCGCAGTCAACGACTGTCAGTAGCAGCAGGCGCCCGTTCAGCTCCCACGGCTACACGCCACTCAAAGTTGCTCCCAACACAAAGACAAAGATCCCCCGTAAAGCCTGGACAGAATGTCAGGGCAAGTGCTGTTAGCGATCACCTAACACAAACACAAAGATCCCCCGTAAAGCCTGCACAGAATGTTGGGGCAAGTGCTGTTAGCGAGCACCTATTAAGGGTGGGACAACACACGAGGGGGTGGGTGGCCAGCACCACGCCCGGCCGCCTTTGTCTCCCCAGTGGCGATGTTGACACCGCACCGGGTACTCTTTTGAGGCTGACTCGACGTAGGGGAGGCTCAGGACCGGCTCAGAAAGTCGTCACTGGCGATGTTGGCCACGAGCGGGAATGGAACTCGGCGCAGCGCTCAGCACGACACTGCCGCTCCCCTTCTGTCAACAAACTTGAACTCTGACCCCGCCCTCAGACGTCGCCGCTCAGCGTGACCTCATCTGCGTCAAACGCCAGGGGGAGGTGTGCCTCGCTAGGGACGTCATGTCACCTACCCCGACCACCGAGCTCTTGAGCGTGACGTCACTTTCGCTCGGCCGCAGCCGATGTCTGTTCCAGTGCCAATCCTTATTTGGGCAAAGCCACGCCCGGTGACTGGCGGCTCATTAACATAATTTATTCGTGAAAGCCGTCGCGAGTTTCGAGCCGCTCAATGTGGGGAGGGGAGTGTCATCGTACACCGCTAGTGACGTCATGTCACCTGCTGCCGCGTGACGTCACGAGGGACCAGGAAGTTGCCGCTCGGCCCGTGCACTGAAATCCGAGGTGAGAAATTCTCATCGCGGTTGTGGTGATTGTGGTGGTTGTGGTTGTTGTTGTGGTTATTGTGGTGGTTGTTTTGGTGGTGGTGGTTGTTTTGGTGGTGGTGGTTGTTTTGGTGGTGGTGGTTGTTTTGGTGGTGGTGGTTGTTTTGGTGGTGGTGGTTGTGGTGGTGGTTGTGGTGGTGGTTGTGGTGGTGGTTGTGGTGGTGATTGTGGTGGTTGTTGTTTACCGAGGTAGAGCCTCGCTCTCTCTCTCGTAGGGATGTCATTTGAGTAGCAGCGAGCATGGAAGCGATGTCCAGGGTGGGACTTTACAACGCGGGGCCTTGCCTCCTGCCCTCGCCTGATGGCGTTTGCTTCAATTCTCTCGCTTAAGTTGAATTTGTCTTCACACGGATCGCCACTTTGTAACTTTGTTTAAATATTCTATATTAACACAGTTTTTTTTGTTACCAGGCCACGCCCGCTTGAGCTGCTGTACCGCTCTTGTTATCAGAAGTGACCTGCCCACAGCAACAACAAGGCGCGTGGCGGTGTTCACTCTAGACACGTGGCGGTGTTCACTCTAGACACGTGGCGGTGTTCACTCTAGACACGTGGCGGTGTTCACTCTAGACGCGTGGCGGTGTTCACTATAGACACGTGGTGGTGTTCACTCTAGACACGTGGCGGTGTTCACTCTAGACACGTGGCGGTGTTCACTCTAGACGCGTGGCGGTGTTCACTCTGGACGCGTGGTGGTGTTCACTCTAGACACGTGGCGGTGTTCACTCTGGACGCGTGGCGGTGTTCACTCTAGACGCGTGGCGGTGTTCACTCTAGACGCGTGGCGGTGTTCACTCTGGACGCGTGGTGGTGTTCACTCTAGACACGTGGCGGTGTTCACTCTAGACACGTGGCGGTGTTCACTCTAGACACGTGGCGGTGTTCACTCTAGACGCGTGGCGGTGTTCACTCTGGACGCGTGGCGGTGTTCACTCTAGACGCGTGGCGGTGTTCATTCAAGACACGTGGTGGTGTTCACTCTAGACACGTGGTGGTGTTCACTCTAGACGCGTGGCGGTGTTCACTCTAGACACGTGGCGGTGTTCACTCTAGACGCGTGGCGGTGTTCACTCTAGACGCGTGGCGGTGTTCACTCTAGACGCGTGGCGGTGTTCACTCTAGACGCGTGGCGGTGTTCATTCTGGACGCATGGCGGTGTTCACTCTAGACACGTGGCGGTGTTCACTCTAGACACGTGGCGGTGTTCACTCTAGACGCGTGGCGGTGTTCACTCTGGACGCGTGGTGGTGTTCACTCTAGACACGTGGCGGTGTTCACTCTAGACGCGTGGTGGTGTTCGCTCTAGACGCGTGGCGGTGTTCACTCTGGACGCGTTCCGGTGTTCACTCTAGACGCGTGGTGGTGTTCACTCTAGACACGTGGTGGTGTTCACTCTAGACACGTGGTGGTGTTCACTCTAGACACGTGGTGGTGTTCACTCTAGACACGTGGCGGTGTTCACTCTAGACGCGTGGTGGTGTTCACTCTAGACGCGTGGCGGTGTTCATTCTAGACACGTGGTGGTGTTCACTCTAGACGCGTGGCGGTGTTCACTCTAGACACGTGGTGGTGTTCACTCTAGACGCGTGGCGGTGTTCACTCTAGACGCGTGGTGGTGTTCACTCTAGACACGTGGTGGTGTTCACTCTAGACGCGTGGCGGTGTTCACTCTAGACACGTGGCGGTGTTCACTCTAGACCGCGTGGTGGTGTTCACTCTAGACGCGTGGCGGTGTTCACTCTAGACGCGTGGCGGTGTTCACTCTAGACGCGTGGTGGTGTTCACTCTAAACGCGTGGCGGTGTTCACTCTAGACACGTGGCGGTGTTCACTCTAGACACGTGGCGGTGTTCACTCTAGACGCGTGGTGGTGTTCACTCTAGTCGCGTGGCGGTGTTCACTCTAGACGCGTGGTGGTGTTCACTCTAGACGCGTGGCGGTGTTCACTCTAGACGCGTGGCGGTGTTCACTCTAGACGCGTGGCGGTGTTCACTCTGGACGCGTGGCGGTGTTCACTCTAGACACGTGGTGGTGTTCACTCTAGACGCGTGGCGGTGTTCACTCTAGACGCGTGGCGGTGTTCACTCTAGACACGTGGCGGTGTTCACTCTAGACGCGTGGCGGTGTTCACTCTAGACGCGTGGCGGTGTTCACTCTAGACGCGTGGCGGTGTTCACTCTAGACACGTGGCGGTGTTCACTCTAGACGCGTGGCGGTGTTCACTCTAGATGCGTGGTGGTGTTCACTCTAGACACGTGGCGGTGTTCACTCTAGACGCGTGGTGGTGTTCACTCTGGACGCGTGGCGGTGTTCACTCTAGACACGTGGTGGTGTTCACTCTAGACGCGTGGCGGTGTTCACTCTAGACGCGTGGCGGTGTTCACTCTAGACACGTGGCGGTGTTCACTCTAGACGCGTGGCGGTGTTCACTCTAGACGCGTGGCGGTGTTCACTCTAGACGCGTGGCGGTGTTCACTCTAGACACGTGGCGGTGTTCACTCTAGACGCGTGGCGGTGTTCACTCTAGATGCGTGGTGGTGTTCACTCTAGACACGTGGTGGTGTTCACTCTAGACGCGTGGCGGTGTTCACTCTAGACGCGTGGCGGTGTTCACTCTAGACGCGTGGCGGTGTTCACTCTAGACGTGTGGCGGTGTTCACTCTAGACACGTGGCGGTGTTCACTCTGGACGCGTGGCGGTGTTCACTCTGGACGCGTGGCGGTGTTCACTCTGGACGCGTGGCGGTGTTCCCTCTAGACGCGTGGCGGTGTTCACTCTAGATGCGTGGCGGTGTTCACTCTAGACGCGTGGCGGTGTTCACTCTAGACACGTGGTGGTGTTCACTCTGGACGCGTGGTGGTGTTCACTCTAGACGCGTGGTGGTATTCACTCTAGACACGTGGCGGTGTTCACTCTAGACGCGTGGCAATGTTCACTCTAGACGCGTGGCGGTGTTCACTCTGGACACGTGGCGGTGTTCACTCTAGACACGTGGTGGTATTCACTCTAGACGTGTGGTGGTGTTGACTCTAGACACGTGGCGGTGTTCACTCTAGACACGTGGCGGTGTTCACTCTAGACGCGTGGCGGTGTTCACTCTGGACGCGTGGCGGTGTTCACTCTAGACGCGTGGCGGTGTTCACTCTGGACGCATGGCGGTGTTCACTCTAGACGCGTGGCGGTGTTCACTCTGGACGCATGGCGGTGTTCACTCTAGACACGTGGTGGTGTTCACTCTAGACACGTGGCGGTGTTCACTCTGGACGCGTGGCGGTGTTCACTCTGGACGCGTGGCGGTGTTCACTCTAGACGCGTGGCGGTGTTCACTCTGGACGCGTGGCGGTGTTCACTCTAGACGCGTGGCGGTGTTCACTCTGGACGCATGGCGGTGTTCACTCTAGACACGTGGTGGTGTTCACTCTAGACACGTGGCGGTGTTCACTCTGGACGCGTGGCGGTGTTCACTCTGGACGCGTGGCGGTGTTCACTCTGGACGCGTGGCGGTGTTCCCTCTAGACGCGTGGCGGTGTTCACTCTAGATGCGTGGCGGTGTTCACTCTAGACGCGTGGCGGTGTTCACTCTAGACACGTGGTGGTGTTCACTCTGGACGCGTGGTGGTGTTCACTCTAGACGCGTGGTGGTATTCACTCTAGACACGTGGCGGTGTTCACTCTAGACGCGTGGCAATGTTCACTCTAGACGCGTGGCGGTGTTCACTCTGGACACGTGGCGGTGTTCACTCTAGACACGTGGTGGTATTCACTCTAGACGTGTGGTGGTGTTGACTCTAGACACGTGGCGGTGTTCACTCTAGACACGTGGCGGTGTTCACTCTAGACGCGTGGCGGTGTTCACTCTGGACGCGTGGCGGTGTTCACTCTAGACGCGTGGCGGTGTTCACTCTGGACGCATGGCGGTGTTCACTCTAGACACGTGGTGGTGTTCACTCTAGACACGTGGTGGTGTTCACTCTAGACGCGTGGTGGTGTTCACTCGAGATGCGTGGTGGTGTTCACTCTGGACGCGTGGTGGTGTTCACTCTGGACGCGTGGCGGTGTTCACTCTGGACGCGTGGCGGTGTTCACTCTGGACGCGTGGCGGTGTTCACTCTAGACACGTGGCGGTGTTCACTCTGGACGCGTGGTGGTGTTCACTCGAGATGCGTGGTGGTGTTCACTCTGGACGCGTGGCGGTGTTCACTCTAGACGCGTGGTGGTGTTCACTCTGGACGCGTGGCTGTGTTCACTCTAGACGCGTGGCGGTGTTCACTCTGGACGCGTGGCGGTGTTCACTCTGGACGCGTGGCGGTGTTCACTCTGGACGCGTGGCGGTGTTCACTCTAGACGCGTGGTGGTGTTCACTCTGGACGCGTGGCGGTGTTCACTCTAGACACGTGGCGGTGTTCACTCTGGACGCGTGGCGGTGTTCACTCTGGACGCGTGGCGGTGTTCACTCTAGACACGTGGCGGTGTTCACTCTGGACGCGTGGTGGTGTTCACTCTGGACGCGTGGCGGTGTTCACTCTGGACGCGTGGTGGTGTTCACTCGAGATGCGTGGTGGTGTTCACTCTGGACGCGTGGCGGTGTTCACTCTAGACGCGTGGTGGTGTTCACTCTGGACGCGTGGCTGTGTTCACTCTAGACACGTGGCGGTGT